AATAGTCACAAGTACTAATCTGAGAAAAAGGTTCTATTTCTATTTTGCAAATACAATTTAGTTGGGGGAGGGGAATTTTAAACTAGAAATATTAGTTTTAAAGACATTATCTATTAGTACTGAAAACCTTAAGCTTTTTTGAAAATTAGCTGATGAAACCCTCATTGTGGTTAAGTACTGGAAAGAATTCAACTAATGTAGCTGTAAGTTATGACTCCACACTAATAAACCAAATTGTGTTTCCCCAGAGCACTGATAAATATACTACTTTGAACTGTATGAAAGATTTGAAATAACAGAATTTTGTTATTTATAGTCAGAATAAAAGAACTCTTGTCAGTGCAAAATTAAATGCTCCTACAACTTTAAAACATTTTCAAGTGTCAAAACTAATTCAAAGAGAAATTATTTTCTAATTAAATTAATAATACTGGAGATTGTACAGTTCATCTTACCTATATATCTAGAATCCTCACTGGGAACAAAGTACTTAAAGCTTTCTGTAACAGTCTTATCGAGAACCTCAACCTATATGCAAATCACCTATTTAAAATTTTATCATATGCTCATTTCTTAGATTAAAACTTTTAACAAAATTGTGTTTTGCCACTGATACCATATTAAACAAGTAAGATATCTAATACCGTAATGCATTTTCAAACACGAACTAATTTTTATATATTAAAAGGCTCTTGCTTCATCTTTTGTAAGAATTTAAAAAGTGCTGTTTGGTAGTAGAAGCCAAGTACTTCCATTCTTTCCAATGCTAAGATAAGGAAAACAAGTTCTTGGATTTTTTTTAACAATGAAGATTATACTTCAATTAGGTTTATGAGGAAAAATTAACCTTTTCATAATACTTACTAATTGCATAACTTTTCCCTTACATGTGAATTTAAATTTCTTTTGTACTTTCTTTTTAATTTTTAAAACTGCATAGGCTCAAATCAAGGTAAAATCTTTCACAAAAGACTATCACAGTATATACTTGCTGTCTTTTCTTAGTTTGACTTGCCTTTTATTATATATTCATTCCATTTTTAAAATGATGCCACATATTTAATGAAAGAAAGTTTTTTAAAAGGAAGTGTTACCAATCAGTCTAAATTTGTTACAGTTAAAATTTGATGGTCTACAGACAATTTATAATCCTTTTCTTGTTATAAAATATTGTAAAATTTATAGTAGTATCAGTTAGAAAGTTTATGGAAACATTGTTTAAGGTGGTTTAAAATAGAACTAAATCTTTAATTTGAATTTGATGGCACCTGTTTTCATTTTGTTCCCCCGGCAACACCACTGGTACCAAAATTGCCTATAGACCACCCTGGTTTTTGAAAAGAATGAAATCATTCTGGTTTTTAAAAATTTCATCCTTCTACTGACTAAATATTTAAACAGAATTATAAAACATCTGTCAGAGTTTGTGAACTCACTGGAGTAAAAGAGTTTAGGACACATAATTGGAAGTTTTGCATAAAAATCCCTGAGTAATTTTAGTTTGTCTTTCTTAGTTACACTAAAATTTTTATTAGAAATAGAATTAGATATTAGAAAAATAACTGACAACAAGAGAAAAAATATTTGTGCTTAGAAAATCGTCTTGGAAAGCTATGTTTTCTTTCATTCATTACTAACAATTGAGGTTTTAAAAACAAAACAGTATGATCCTTTTTTCTGGGAGGTTCTGAACAGTCAAGGTATGTCAGTTAAGGTTTACGCTATTGAAACTCCTGCGGGAGACAGGTAAAGCTGATGCAAATGTTTCCTTTCCTAGTAGGTTCTGCATTTTATTTTTTTTCCTGCTCTATCATTGATTCATGTGTTTGGGACATCATGAAATGTCATTATTTTATCTGTTTTAATTATGGGTAATTGAGACTTAGATGCAGTAAAAACAAGTGGCTGAAAATTATTAATTTTCAGTGTCCAGAGATGAGAGATGAGTGTCTTATGACAGGTAAACTGAGGCAGGCATGTTAGATTAACATGTGTTCTTTTGGCAATTTCCTTGATCAAATGGGATTTATTGCTATGTTCTCCAAAGGCTAATTCATATGGGAAAATATTGGTTTACTTGAAAGAATTGGGTGTATAGACAACAAATCATTGCTTTATTTTAATTTTCTGTGTGTGTGTGTGTGTGTGTATTTATGTTATATCCTGCCATAGAAATATGTATAGGAGCTTGAATCCTTAAACCTGACTGGATTAGTTAGAGCTTTATATAGAACCAACAAAGACACTACATATTTGACATCTATTTAAAGTGATTGCTGTTCTTTTTTATTGTAAGATTATTTTTTCTTATAGTAGATACATCAGTTTTTATTTTTCTTTTTGAAGAGCATGTGGCTGAATATAATCACCCTTCTTCCCAAGTTTTCATATATATTATTTTATTCTCTATGTATTATTAGGCTAATATAGAAACTGTTCTTTGGTGAATCAGAATTTCTCAGTGTGATTTTTTTCACATTTACCAAAAACCATTGTGTCAGAGTGAGATCATTCTGGCTTAATAGGATGCTTTTTGGATGAGGGGTAAAGATTCTTTCTGGATAAACTAGTTGTTAGCAGGAATTTACTTATTTACAGTGTCCATTCATTGGAAGGGATTGGAAGAACTTGTATTGAAGTTCCCCTAAAAATCTTGTTGGTTTATGTAAGCTACTACTTCAGTGTAGTAAAACACCCTAGTGGCACTGAAAAATTTTGCTTAGACTTCATTGGGTTGATAGTGTGGTAAAACAGAAAGAACTGGCTTTGAAGTCAGACCTTTAGTTTTAGTATTTTGTCCTGCCTAAACCATGTAGTATCTCTGTAACATAAGCAGATAACTCAATCATTATCAAAAAAGAGACTTTTCAATGTTGTTGTGAGAGTTAAATGAGAAACTAAGTAAAGGTGACTTGCATACTGTCTGACACACAGTAGAAAGTTAATAAAAGTTAATGTACACTCATCCTTACATTCTTCATTCTTTCTGTGAATTTGCCTCCTTAGTGCTGAGCGCCCCAGCAAGAAAGTTTAGTATGTGTAATTATAAGAATGTTGTGTGATTTAGGGTAGGACTTGGGATCTGTGTTTACTATACCTCAACACTTCTAAATCCCCCAAAGCCAGAGATTATTTGCTCTCACCTCTTAATCATTTATGCTTTAGTTGAAGTTGTTAGTCCTTTTCATCTCTTGTCAGTCAATGTGGAAAGCATTTCTTATGTATAGTAATATTAGGTATCCTTGAAGGGAATATCTTATGTCTCTGTAGGCACCGAAACCTAATAAGGTTGAGCTAAAAGGAGTTAAGACCTGGTTCTGAAAGAAGCAAGGACAATCTGTGTAGAATGTAGATTATATATTATCTGACTTTTTACAGCAATATTATTAACCTATATTTATAAAATATTTTCAATCTTAGCTGACAGTTCTACATAAGTTATTTTAATTCTCACAACCCTCTGAAATGAGGTAGGTACTATGACTGCCATTTGACATATCTTGAAGAAATGGAGACCCAGATGTGGTAGCATCTGATCAGTATTGCTGTAGTCCAGGGTTATAATCAAGTGATGATCCTCTTTTTTTGGTGATGGTGGTTGTATTTTCATAGGACTTTATTTGTGAAGTTATTTAAGAGTGAATCTACAGCAGAGTACTAGAGAAATCTTTCTTCAATTAAATAGGAATCATTAGAAAGAAATGGGGATAGGTTTGGTATAGATACATAAATAAATATAGATTGATCTGAATGGTGTGCTCTCTTTTCTTTTGAAGAACACACTTTAGTACTATTTTTTTTTTCATGACCGGTAACGGGATAGGAACCCGCGGTGTCACGCCCATACCGCGACCAGCAATGGGATCGCAACCCTCGGTGTCGCGCCCGCACCGCGCTCAACCAGTGAGCGGACCGGTCTCTACATGGGATCCGAACCCTCGGCGGGAGCGCTGCTGCGCTCCCAAGCGTCGCACTCTACCGAATGCGCCACCGGGCCGACCCCACTTTAGTACTATTAACCTTTTGTGATGCGAGCATTTCATAATAATTATAGTAATAATAATAATACCTAAACATGTACAAAGTTTTTACTATATACTATATCTACCATAGGTTTGTTTTGAATCATTTCCTTTCTTCCTTTCAAAAATACTTCCGTATTTCCTTTATCTTTTTACTATCTCTATTCCAGAAGTGTGATCGAAAATCTACTTCTTAAAACAAGTTCACTCTTGACCTGTTATAGTCCTACTTTTTTTCAAATTGTAATTTATATTTATGGTAGAAGTGCTATATAGAGTTACAAACAAAAAATACATTTATACTGTCTTTAGCATTTACTTGTATATTTACTTTTGCTGATGCTTTTTATTTCATTGTGTGGATTTGAGTTACTGTCTAATGTCCTTTCATCTCAATCTGAAGTACTTCCTTTCGTGTGTCTGGTAGGGCAAGTCTGCTAGCAATTAATTCTCTCAGTTTTTGTTTATCTGTTTTTGTTCATTTCCTCTTCATTTTTGAGGAGAGAAGGGAAGTCTCAGGCATCAGTGGCTTCTGCAGTGATGATGAGAAAGAGAAGAAAGGAGGGAAGGAAAAACCTAATGTGGTGCCTTTACTGACCATTCCTGGCAAATCAGTACCCATTGCTTCAAAGAAGATCTTGGCTTGGAACCCTGGAACTGTGGTAGGAGGAAGGGAGAATGAATATGGCTGAAGGACTGATTCTAAGAAATAAATTTGGTTGTTTTTGTCAGAATTGGTATGGAGAGATCTGCTGTGTCACATTCATTGGGTATCAGATAATCTAACCTTTGGCTTTCCTAAAGTTGAACACGTAACACACGTGTTTTTCCTGTAAGATGTACCATTTTGTTGTCTATAAGAAAAATTATGCTATAGATCTTCTATTTTCACTCTCCATTCTTTTTTTTTTTTTTTTTTAATTTTATTTTTACTTGTGGTAAAAAGAAAAAAATCAAATATACCATCTTAACCAGCTATGGCACAGGGCTTCACCTCACTATGGCAGCAGCACGGCACAGCACGCTCGACTTCATGCTCGGCGCCAAAGCTGACGGTGAGACCATTCTGAAAGGCCTCCAGTCCATCTTCCAGGAGCAGGGCATGGCAGAGTCGGTGCACACCTGGCAGGAACATGGCTACTTAGCAACCCAAACAAAAATGGCAGCTTTGCCAATTTGAGAATTTACCCACATGGATTGGTGTTGCTGGACATTCAAAGTTACGACAGTGATGCACAGGGGAAAGAAGAAATTGACAGTCTTTTGAACAAAGTAGAAGAAAGAATGAAAGAATTGAGTCAAGACAGTACTGGGCGGGTGAAGCGATTACCATCCATAGTTTGAGGAGGGGCCATCGACAGATACTGGCCCACTGCTGATGGGCACCTGGTTGAGTATGACATAGATGAAGTGGTGTATGATGAAGATTCACCTTATCAGAACATTAAAATTCTGCACTCGAAGCAATTTGGAAATATTCTTATCCTTAGTGGGGATGTTAATTTGGCGGAGAGTGATTTGGCATATACCCGGGCCATCATGGGCAGTGGCAAAGATGATTACACTGGCAAGGATGTACTGATTCTTGGAGGCGGAGACGGGAATATTATGTGAAATAGTCAAACTGAAACCAAAGATGGTCACTATGGTAGAGATTGACCAAATGGTGATTGATGGATGTAAAAAATACATGCAAAAAACGTGGTGACGTCTTAGACAATCTTAATGGAGACTGCCATCAGGTTCTCATAGAAGACTGTATTCCAGTACTGAAGAGGTACGCCAAAGAAGGGAGAGAGTTTAATTATGTGATTAATGATTTGACAGCTGTTCCAATCTCCATGTCTCCGGAAGAAGATTCCACATGGGAGTTTCTCAGACTGATTCTTGATCTCTCAATGAAAGTATTGAAACAGGATGGGAAATATTTTACACAGGGGAACTGTGTCAATTCGACAGAAGCCCTGTCGCTCTATGAAGAACAGCTTGGGTGCCTGTATTGTCCTGTGGAATTTTCGAAGGAGATCATCTGTGTCCCTTCATACTTGGAATTGTGGGTATTTTACACTGTTTGGAAGAAAGTGAAACCATGAAGATAAATGTCCCCTAATCATGTGTGCTGCAAATAGCCTTCCTGACCTCCATGTGCTGTACATGCCATCAACATGAGTCAGGCAATTCATTGTGAATTCCTTGAAGTTTTCTTTTTTAAATTATTTTTAATTTAAAAAAGTGAATGGAAAATGTATATTTTGATGAGGTAGGGTGTTATTTTTTTTGAAAGTCAGCTGAAGGATGATTAGACAGCACAGCGCAGACTACTAAATGCACTGACACCCCGCCCCCGAATGTGATTTTTGTTACTTTTTATTTCTCTGTGGGCTATTTTTGGTTTTGTTTTGGTAGACCTTCAATTTGGATGTTTAGAGGAATGAATATTGTTGTTTTATTGCAGAGGGAAGTTCTTGATGGTGTTTCTTTCCCCCAAAATTGACTTAGATATTAAAATTTGGTGCTTATATGAGAGAGTTTTAAAAAAAATCAATTAGCAATGCTTCAATTAAAGTTACAAAAGAGAAAAAAAATAAATATACAGTTCAGTAGTGTTAAGCATATTCACATTGTTGTGCAATAGATCTCTAGAACTTTTTCGTCTTGCAAAACTGAAACTCTTACCAGTTAATCAACCATTCCCCATTTCCCCCTCCCTCCGGCCCTTGGTAACCACTATTTTACTTTCTGTCTCTGTAAATTCAATGCTTTAAATACTTCATGTAAATGGAATCATTTAATATTTGTAGTTTTGTGATTGGCATTTTTCACTTCGCATAATAGCCTCAAGTTTCATCCATGTCGCAGCATGTGACAAGATTTCCTCCCTTTTTAAGGCTAAAAATATGCTATTGTATATGTACACCGCATTTTTATCAACTTATCCTCTTCATTTGTTTTTTAAATTTGTTTTTAGTATAGATTATCTTTCTTTTTCAACCACTAAGTTTCCTTATCTCTAGATTTCAGCTTATTTAGGGACATAAACCATTTGCCTGGCTTGTTTTTTGGAAGTCATATTAATGGTTATATTTTCCATCTGTTTTGCAGCTATACTGCTGATTTATACATTTTTATATTAATTATATCTGTAGAAATCTTTGAGTTATTTTATTAGTTTCCTTAGATATTTAATTGATTGGAAGTTTTAAAAGAACCTGGGACTTTGTCAGTTAAATAATTATTAATAATCAAGCTAATAAATTCTTTTCCAATAGTGTACAAATTCTACACTGCACCGGTTTAAATTATAGCACCTAATGCTGCCTCAAGGCTTGTGACATTATAACTTTTCAACTGAGCAATGCCTAATTTGTTATGAAAGTGAAAGAAAAGTTAAGTAATTCCATCAAATTTGTGCTGCTGACATCTGTTTCTGATAAAATTTTAGTAATATGATAAGAATTAAAAGCATTGTGTGATTACTGGTTTCTGATTCCCATGATAGTATACTGTAGATTACTTGTCTTTCCTTTGTGAATCACTTATGTATGTGAGATGTTATTAAATCCAAATGGGAAAGAAATGTAGTGCTGAGGGACACTAAAGCAATAACTGAGTTTCTTTCTGACACTTATCCTCTTAAATTACCTGTTAAATGTGTAAAATAAGTTATATCTTCTTGAATTTTGCAAAAATAATGAAAAATTGTATGAAAGAATTTTTAATATACAATTGTATTTAGAGCATAATTTGTTTCTAAAGCCACATGATATTTTCAACCTACACTGGTCAGTGTGTTCAGTCCATTTTTTACTCTACAACATATGTTGAATTTTCTAAATTTTCCTTAAATTACTAATATTGCAAGAAGAGATATGACCTCTGAGATCAAAATTTATTTGAGGTAATGAAGCTATATGTGAATGCTCTTGAAATTAAACTCTGGGGGTGAGAGGGAAGAAAGCAGTTCAAAAGGGGGTGCTGATTAAGGTAATAGAAAAAAAGAAGAGAGGGAGTAGGGAAGAATCAGAAAGAAAAAGAGTCAAATAGAGAGGGAAGAAAGAAGAAGGTAGTTGTGAGAGAAATGAAAGTAGTATTTTTTGGGAAAAAGAGAAAAGAATGGGGGCCTAGAGGGAGTAGAGTTCCTAACTTTTTATGTAGTTTGGGATGGTTACCTTTTGATCTCAGAGCTAGGAATAGAGCTGTTTGATCCAGTATTTTAGGATTGCTTTAGTTTGCTGTTGTTGCTGAGCAACTTTGTCATTGGTACATCCACTAAGGTTATTGCAAGAGTGACCTTGCAGATACTAATTTCAGCAACATTCCGTTTTCAGTTAACTCCTTAGGCTAGTCTGCCAGACTTGAGTCAAGCGTATTTGGCTCCAATATTCATTTTCTTCACTGCACCATCCAGCTTCAATAAGGAATCACTTTTCTGGATCTACCCTATATACTACAACTTTGCTGAACTCATTTATTTCCTGTAGTAAGTTGATGTTCTTGGATATCATAATTCTATGATTATGCCGTCTGTACAAATTCATATTTTTAAAAGCTTTATTGAGATATTGACCAACAAAAATTGTTTATATTTAAGGTATACAACATGATATTTTATAAATTGACATTTTTATTTCTTTCCCTTTTTTTCCTATTATGTGACTTTAGGGCAAGTTACTCTTATGCTTAAACTTTACCTTCTTCATATATAAAATGGATGTAATAGATTTATTGGAATCACAAGCTAATTATAAGGATTAAATGAGAGATGGTTTATAAAGGATCCAGTACAGTATTGGTAAATACCTCTTAGTCTTATTCATTTTTATTGAGAATATATCTGTTTCTTCATTTTGTCTAATTTTAGTGTTTAGTTTTAGAAAGAAGTTTTTTAAAATCACATTAAAACACTCCATATCTTTTATTTTTTAGCATTTTAATCCTCAATACTTTATCTGATCAGTTCTTGACTGATAGGATGATACAACTTAGACATTTTTCTACAGTTGTGAGGAATTGTTGTTTCAGCCACATATTGTAAGGTTGAAACTAAGGATATAATACAAATATTTTAATGCACCTGTATATTGCTTTTCTTCATCAAGTTTATATGTATCTTCATAAATAGTCTTTGTAGAAGCTGTTCCTTTTGTCAGGAATTCTGTTCTTTCCTATAACCCTATGGCTCCCTCTTGCCTGCATTTCCTTTCATTGTCTGCTGCAGTGCCATACTGTCAGAGAAACAATATAGCATAATAGTTAAGAACTGGAAAGCATGGCAATACTACAGTCATGTGCCACATAATGACGTTTTGGTCAAGGATGGACCCCATATACAATGGTGGTCCCATAAGATTATAATGGAGCTAAAAAATTGTTATTGCCCAGAGACATCCTAGCACGAGGCATTACTCATGTAGGAGCAGTTAGCTATACCATAATGCCTAAGTGTGTAGTAGGCTACACCATCTAGGTTTGTGAAAGTACTCTCTATGATGTTCTCACAACAAGTTGACTAACAATGCATTTCTCAGAACATTGTTTGTTAACGTTTGCTAATCCCCATTGTTAAGTGATACACGACTGTACTTATTGGCTCTTTTACCTTGGGAAAATCAACCTCTTCGTGCCTTAGTTTCTTCAGTTGTAACATTTTTATTTTGATAGTAACTACTTCATGGAGTTGCTTAGGATTGAATGATTTAATGTATGTTCGGTACTTAGCACGGTACCTGGCACTTAGCACAATATATAGATTAACTGCTGTCATTGTCATCATCGTTTTCACCACCAGAGAGGTATATGTAAAATAGTGCTTGTTTTACTCTGCCTTCATTCTCCTTTTCTTGCCTCATTTTTTTTTTTTTTTGTCTTTTTTCGTGACCGGCAACAGGATCGCAGCCCTCGGTGTTGCCCCCGCACCTCGCTCAGCCAGTGAGCGGCCAGTCTGTATGTGGGATCCGAACCCTCGGTGGGAGCGCCACCGCGTTCCCAAGCGGCGCACTGTAGCAGTGCACCACCGGGCCGGCCCTCTTGCCTCATTTTTTTCCTTAGCTCTTACAATCACTTTATATTTTATTTATTTATTCATTTATGTGCTTATTGACTGATAGGATGATATAATTTAAACATTGTCTTCCACAACTGAAATGTATTTTCTTTAAAGGCAGGTACTCTGTTTTCCTCATTATGTACCCATACCTATTATGTGGTATAAATTTTTATTAAATGGAAGAATAAGTGATTCAATCAATATTTTATTTGCCTCTCAGAGTGAAAGTTACGAAGGAGGCATTAGAAAATGACATCAGAACATACTACATATTTATATATTTAACTATTCTCAAGTATAATTTCATGTATTCTACAATTTTTTATTCAGTGCCTACTTTGTACCCACATACTATTCTAGGCACTTGGGATAGATCAGAGGTTACATTCTAGCAGGGGACAATAGACAAGAAAAAAATAAAAAACTTATATTGCCTATTAGAAAGTAGTTAGTGCTTTGGAGATGAGAAAAAAAGAAGAGCAAGGTAAGAAGGATGGAGAGAGGTTGGATGGATAAATTTGAAGTTTTAAATATGATGGTCAAGGCCTCATTGAGAAGGTAGTATTTGAGCAAAGACTTGAAAGCGTAGTGGGAGTAAACCACACATATATCTAGGGAGACCATTTAGGTAGAAGGAATAAGTAGTGGAAATCCCTGCGTGTTTGGGGAACAGAAGGGAGCAGAGTGATCTAGGGAGAGAGAAGTAGGAGATAAGATTAAAAAAGTAAGGGAGGTGGTGGTGGAGGTAGGTCAGAACAGGAGTGGTGCCTCACAGACCCTTGCCAGGCATTGAACAGTGGGGTGATAAGATCTGACTTATATTTTTAAAGGATTACTCTGATTTTGTTGAGAATAGACCGAGTGAGGGTGGGCAAGGTAGAAGGAACGAGACCAGTTGGGAAGGTATTGTGATAATCCAGGTGAGGGACGATGGTAGCATACATTAGGTTGGTAACAGTGGAGGTGGTAAAAGCTGGTCAGATTTTGGATATACTGTATTTTGAAACTATAACCAACAGAATTTTCTGACAGATTAGATGAGGGGTATAAAAGAAAGAGGAGTTAGGTTAGCTGGAGAGAATTATCATAAAACAAAACA